TAGACTAGGTTATATTTGTCATTCATGTACATTTGTGGTTAGTCTGTCTTCAATGTTTAACATGTGTAGTAGTGAGTTAACTGAGAGGTGTTCTGTTTAAGAATGGCAAGATCTATTGTGAGAAGGCAGATATGATTTTTACATATGGTGAAGTAAATGGTAATCGACACAAGGCTTCATGTCTGTATAAGATTGCATTTCCAGACTGAATGCTGCCAAGTCATCCAACCTTTGCTGCTGTTTATCATTGTGTTACTGAAATAGAATCTGATGTACCACAAACTATGGATTAAGGAAAATGGGTCAGCTCATATGCCTGACCATGAGGAACACATTCTACAGGCTGTTGGAGATGATCCAGGTATCAGAACATGTCAAGTGGTGCTAGCATGTCATACATCTCATAGTATTTCATGGAGGGTACTCCAAGAGAAGCTCCTGTATCTATATCATTTGCAACATAAGCAGGTTCTTTCACTCTCTGATCACTCGCCATGGGAGAACTTTTACTGATGGTTTATTGCTCAAACTATTGATCTGTTGTTTGTCTTTTCAGTCTTGTTTATGGATGAGGCAACATTTGGAAAAGATGGAATAACAAATTTACACAAACAACATTTGTGGGTGGATTGGAAACACCATGGTACAATCAGGCTAGACATCAGCATCAGTGTATGATTAATGTGTGGGCTGGAATTGTAAGTGACTGTCTGGTAGGCCCATATGTTCTCCCAGCACTTCTTAGAGGAGCTGTCTACAGGGACTTTATTTCAAAATTTCCACTTCCAGACCAGCACTGGCTAACATTTACCATGAACGATGTATAGGTAGGGGATGTTTGATTTCATGGCCTGCATGTTCCCCTGCATGTTTATCTGTGGGGGGGGCACCTAAAACAATTGGTTTATACAGTAGACATTAATAATGTGGAGACACTTCATCAATGTGTCATGGGAGCCTGTGAAAACATTCAAGACTGTGTAGGATTATTTGAAATGGTCCAGCAGTCAATGATCTAATGGGTTCATGCGTGTGTAGATGCAAGCAGAGAACATTTCAAACATTTGTTATGAGTTGCTGTGTTGAGGTACAATGATGGCCTTTTGGTCATATGTTTATATGGATATTTTATCTTGTTTTGGTGTCATTAATCCGGCCCCAAAATTTGTAAAAGTATTTTTGGATTGTAACTTAGAGGAGGAACGGTGGAGTAATGGATAGTAACTTAGATTGAGGAATTAGAGAGCCGAATTCAAATTCCAGTTGAATCCATTATATTCACTTATGTGCTAATACCCTTGGGAAAGGTATGAATCCTTGCCTTCTTCCCCCAGCTATGGGTAAATAGCAGGACAGACTGGGTTCTATAGCCTTGGATGGCAACTGGTCTACTGCAGAAAGAAATGGCAACCTACTGCAGGAAAAAAATCTACCTTGTCAGTCATGTATCGAAATATACATTATCGCTTAAGCGTGTATCACGCATGGCACATAACTAATTGACTGACCTTGGATTGTACATTTAACAGCATCTACCATAAACTTTAAACTTAATAACTCAAAAATAAAGGATTTGCAGACCTATGTTTATACAGACTTTTATCCTTATTCTGGTGTGAGGAACCTGCCCCCAAAGTTTGTAAATGTATTTTTGATACACCAGATATATATATATATATATATATATATATATATATATATATATATATATATAGAGAGAGAGAGAGAGAGAGAGAAAAAATAGTTATTAATCAAACACATTTTATTAAATTCAATTGATAAGATCTGTCTGTTTAATTTCTTATCATGTTTCCAATTTTTGAATAAATTGTTGATAAAATTATAAATAAAGTTCACATTTTTGTTCTTTTTTGTTTGAGTGCATTAGTGCCATGCTTATCATCAAGATGTAATTGTTGTATTATAGCCAACAGTTTTATTAAGGAAATGCTACATTTCAAATTTAAATATACATGTGTAAGTGATGTCATATGTAGAATGGATTCACAGAGTTTCATGGCCCAAGAGATGACTGTATGATGAAATATTTATACACATTTTAAAATGTTATGTGGTAAAATTGCAGGTTGTTTCCTTTCTAAAATAATAGTGTCAATTATTTTGAGTCTTTCTTTACAAATATATAGTATTTTGGTATTATTTACTAGTGTTTGCCTTATGTTAATAGTCCCATTTCATTTTTTTGTGATGTGGTGATCAATATGTGTACAAATTGTGCTATGTTCTAAGAAGTGAAAAATAAATTTATGAAAGAGTGGGGTGCTTGTGTGTAATTTAATATTTGTGATTACTTGTATTGGAGACGCAAACTCTCAAAGGCACAAGTATGCATAAACAACATTGGTTTTATATAAGGGAGATTTTGAAGATCCAGATTATAGGTAATGATTTGATGTTTAAACTTTTTATAGTAAATGATAAATCTAAGGCAGTCATTAAGTCATATGTACCAGTGAATTATATTTGTAATGGTTTATACAATATTTAAAATGCATCTAAATATTTAAAATGTGTTTGAAATAAGTAATATTATATTTATTTTCTGGTGTTAAGCACTGTGAAAATTTTTATATCTGATGTCACTTATACAGTTCACATATTTAAATTTGAAATGTAGCATTCCCAAAAATGCTAGGATGGAGCTACCAAAAGCTTTGGCTATAATACTGACTATATTTAGTTCTTGAAGATTAGTTTCTGGCTGAGATGGTTAAAATTATTTTATCCTAAATTTTGATCAAGATATGCAACAACTTATCTAAAAATTGGAAAAATACAATAAAAATTAAAAAAAAATCTTATCAAATGAATTTAATAAAACTGGTTTGACTGAATTTTTACATCATATATATATATATATATATATATATATATATATATATATATATATATATATATATATATAATGGAGTGCTGAAAAGTTCTTGGTTCAACCCACTTCCCAAAATCTGAGTAAAAGAACAAGCATCATCTTTTTTTATTGGTTTGAGAACTATACAGCAACCCTATATATATATATATATATATATATATATATATATATATATATATATATATATACACACACACACACACTTGGAATTTAGTCTTGTCAGATACATGTGTAGACAACTTTTTATATCTCAAAAAAAAAAAAAAAAATGCATAATTGGATTATGTAAACATTTTACATCCAAAATGTTTCTTTCAAATTTTACCAAATTGAAAATGTCCACTATAAGTAGGAATGCATCAAACAATCATTATTGCAATAAAATAAAACTGAATATCATTTCATCACAGATACTTAAACTTTTATTAGAAGAAAATGTAAACTATACATTGTTAAAATCATTTCTCTCAGGTTTATTCTAAAATTATTATAATACAGTTCATCATCTGTATCAGCCTAAAATAAATATACATTTAATAAATATAGTTTTATGGACTACAAAAAATTTGAGAAAGAATTGATACTGTAAAATAAATACTGCTTTAAGAATTCTTATTTTGTACTCCTGCTAGATAAAAAAAAATTCAAAATTTAAATCCAACTCTTTGCGAATCCTATGCACTGTCCTCAAATTGACACCCAAACACTCTGAAATGTTCCTATTAGAGCTTCCGGCATGAATACCAAACAGTAAAGCATGCCATTTCCAAATTTCTGGCAAAGGGAATTGTGTCATGGTGCTCTTTTTTCACAGACAGTGCCCAACTGACTCGATTATACAGTGCAGTCAACAAAATCAATAATAAACAATATGCATGTACAAAATAAAAAATATAAAATGGCAACAATTTACTCATCACACTGTGTGTGTGTGTGTGTATATATATATATATATATTATATATATTATTGTCATGATATTGAGGGGTTAGAACATTTGCTTTCTGACTATGAGAACCATTTTTGAAGGTCATCATGATCGATTTGTCAGGAAGGTGACTTATGATGTTATTGCCCCTGGTAGATGATCCCAGTATGCAGCATCTTTGGAAAGGGGTTAAAATCAACCCACCAGTATTTTAATTTGTGAGTGGGTTTTAATTTGGGTAGATGGAACTATCTGGTATTTGTTGATGGCTGTGCTAGCACAAAGTCACAAGTCATCATGACCAAGGGTTTGAGTGTACTGGCCCTGTTCAGATTGTTGATCATGCACTCTCTCCCAGAAACTGTAATTACTCAGCATAGTTACAGTATAAACCACAGGTGGGCTCTGTGGTTGCTGAACAAACACAAATGTGCCTGAGAAGGCGTCTGCAACAGGGATTAGTTAGTTGTCTTATTAGAAAGGCATACTCAAATATGAGTGGCCACACACACATGCACATTATATATATATATATATATTTATATATACACACACCCAAGTATAGGATTGGTGCATATGGAATAAATTCCAATAACCAACAATACTATTCTTAAAAGAGTGCTCAGTACAGAGTATAGCAAATATAATTATTTATTCGAAAATTATAACATAAATATGTTATAAAATGTCTACAAAAATGGGTATTTTTGTAGTGATTTTATAACATATTTATGTTATAATTTTTGAATAAATAATTATATATATATATATATATATATATATATATATATATATATATATATATATATGGCTAGCTAAAAACTTAAATGTTTGTTATGTTTATTAAATAAAATGATCCTACTTTCAAATAAGGAATGAAATCCTTAATTAGCAATATGTTTTTATTCATTAAATAGGATTACAGTGATGATTATTTTTTGTATCAGTCTTTTCTAAAAGACTTTGAGATTCAAATTGATTTTTGTTGTTTATTCTCTAAAGCCAAAAGTACAAACTGCATATAAATTATATTAAGAAATAATACATCCTTACTTAATTATGGAGACTATTTACTCAAAGATTGCTCAGTTGTAATTTATGAATAACTTTTGGGAATGAAAAATAAATTTTAAAAGTAGTAATTCAATTGTAGGATGAAAAAAAGAAAACTTTGACTCACCTGTGATTGGTAGTTGACTTAGGAGTTCCTGGTGTGTAAACAGGAGAGATGGACTTATTGCTAAAGACATCATCATCAAGATCATCAGTGCTGTCTGATGGACTATCTACCATCAGATTAGTTTTATCTCCTTCTTTTTTACGATGTTTTAAGCGCCAACTGCTACGGGTGCTCCCACGGCTACTTGTGCGACGCAATCTGGGTGATGGTCGTGGAGACCCACGAATTGTCATCGATCCCTAAACAAAAAAAAATAAATCAATTAAAAAGTAACAGCACAACAAATATTAGTAAAATTCTATAAAAGCTGTAGAAAAAGTAATAATGAAATATAGTAAAATGTGCTCTTATTTTATTAGTCAGTTTATTATGTTTTTTTGTTTTTTTTGCTTCAAGTGTAATATAATAAAGTGAACAAGAATATATAGGGAGAAATTAAGGATTTTTTTTTCTTTTTTAATCATTTTACCTCAAGTAAGATGCAAGGGATAACTGGGAGCGAGAGATAATGAGAAGATTTTAATGAGAAGAAAAGACAATAAAAGAACAGGTTTCAGGAATACAGAAGATGGTGGCTGACATTGCATTTAAAAATTTAAATATTGTAGGTGGCAAGAAATTGGAAGGGAGTTCCATAGGTAAGAAGTGTAGGAAAAGAAATTATTAGAATAGAATTAATGATTACATCTAGCTATTTTAACAGTAAAATGATGAGACCTAATAGTCAATCTAGTAGTACATTTAAATTTATACAGTCAAGGTACCAAGGAGGATAGCTCATTAGAACGCCTGCTACAAAAATATTTATAAAAAACACAGGGAAGCCATATCACGGCAGTGGAGAAAGTGACTGAAATTGAGATGCCAGGTCAGAGCTGATAACATTACAGATCATTTTTTAGATTTTATCAAGAATCTTGATATATATATAGCACCAGACCAGATATGGCAGCAGTATTCAATGTACAAAATGGATCGTGATGAAAAAAATTGTCTAGTCTGATACAGTGAACCAACCTTCTTAGCAGCAGACCTAGCAATTGATTGAATATAATCGTTCTCCTTCATACCAGTAGAAAACATGAGATCAAAGAAAATGAACTGAGTTGCTCTCCTGTAGATTAGGACCTTTTTTGTTCTCTATCAGTATGATAGAGAGCAAAAAAGGTTCTCTAATATGATTAAAGAATAGCAGTTTTGTTTTGCAGGCATCAAAATTTACAAGATTTTTGAGCAGCTGCCAGTTTTACTTTGTCAGACCTATTGGATTTACTATTAAGATAGAAGTAAATAGTTGTCACCAGCATAAATACTGAGCTGGGAATTGATGACAGTGAGAAGGTTGTCAGTGAAAATAAGAAACACTAGGTAGGTCCAAAGATAAAGACCTGAGTGAAATGATCTAGAAGTATGGCTTTTCAACATGACCTTCATGTTGAAAACTTATGAGGCTATATGATCTCTCATTCTATCAGTAAATAGCAACATTGCCTCATTAAGGACATGCTTACACTCATTAGTGGATACAAAAAATGTCTGTTGTGATCAGAATATCATGTTGGTATAAGGGGAAGAAGGGCCTTATCTAGACTGTCAGATCTTCTATGTTTATTTTGTTTTTTTTGGTGTGGGGGTGGATTTATTACAAGATGAAAAATAATATGTACAGAGAAATTAAGGATGTTAATCCAACTTACAACAGATCTGTCAGAAGATTCAACAGATAATGTACTTCGATGAACTGTTGACTGACGCTGAAGAACAGGTCTGCTTACTGATAGCTTGTTATTGGTGTCTTTGGTTAGCATCTCATTAGGGGACCCCTGAGGGGTGGCCATAGGTGTTGCAGCAGTATGGGTTATGATTGGAGGATTACCAGGCCCTTCAGAAAGAGGAATTCCTTGCAGTTCCCTTGACATACACAAATGTACACTGGTAGTTAAAGAAGTCCCAGCAGCAGGGACAGATAACATTTTCTTTTCTAAAAAATGTAAAATAATAAGGTGTTAAAATCTGTAAAAGTAAAAAGAATGCTTGCATCAATTTAAATAACAGTTAAAAAAATATCACAAAATTTCCATAATTGTTAAAAAGGTGTTCAGATTTAACATTTTTTAAAGGTATGGGATGATGGTGTCTTTAGCATCTCATTAGAATATCTGAATAATCCATTTGAAAAGAGAAAATTGATTATTCAGTTGAATGTATTTAAATTTTATTTTGTAGAAAATCTTAAAAATTGTGTAAAAAATGAATGCAGTAAGATAAAGAAGGAATTTTACCTTTTTCCTTATTATTTTTCTCTTGCATTTCACTTTCATTCAGTTGAAGAGAGCCTTTTATATCATCATTATTATTATTATTATTTTCTGCCATCTTTTCTTTCTTCTCTTTATCTTTTTCTTTCCGTTTTTCATCTTCCTACAAAATATAATGAATCAATTCTTCTGAGAAAATATTCATTAGAATAAAAATAAAAGTTATTGATAAAATTCTAATTCATTATTGGGAGTGAAACAGTTTAACAGAATTTTCCATACTTTTCAATTCCGTAGTATCTAAAAAGTAAATAGTATGTACATTTTACATGCAGAATAAGTAATTATTGTGGAAATAGTGAAATTTACAAAAAAGATATTTTAGTTAGAATTGCAACAGAAATACATTCACTTCATAGTAACTAGAAGATTCATTATTCAATATAAATTTATAAAAATATAATATATAATAATATATAATATAGTTCTGTGTTTACTTTTTAACAAAAGGGAACATAACATATTTGTCTGTTTAGTATTCAGTCTAAATTTATTAATTCTATTAATAAATGCAATAAACAAATATTTAGGAATTATATTGAAATTTTGTGACAGATACAAAGTAATTAGAATATATTCTAGATCATCTCACTTGATGTTCTACCAGGAATTATTAATTTTGGGTAAGAAAAAATATTTTTAACAAAACCCTGCAATACAATTTCTATATATTCTTATATGGAAATGTATAGTGAAAGTGTTTTCATAATTTTGAGTTACCTCTGTAGAAAATCCTTCAACTAAGATGGCTACTAGAAGATTAAAAAGCACATAATTTCCAAAGGTCATTAAGGCTATGAAATAAAGTGAAGCCCAAGCGGATGTCTTGTCCATGCCATTGTAAAGGACAGTGTTCCAATCTTCTTGGGTGAGGACCTGGACAAAGAATAAACAATTTAGGTAAATAAACAAAGAAAGTGGGTCAGAAGATTTCAAGAATAAATAAATATGAATGTGCATCAAGAAATAAAGATCAGTTTCAATTTTTCTATCAATTTTCCATAAATTGATTTTTTTGTTTTTCAAAATTAAATGCAACATTTAACATTTGAAGGAATTTTTTAATTTTAAAATTTATAAAAGAAAATTTATATATTATTTACACTAAAAAATATTTTTTATCCTTTGTTGCAACTGACAAAATGTAGTAGATACTAAAATCTGTTTTAATGCTAAGTATGTTACTACTATTGATTCTTACCACATTTATAGTCATACAAAATATTACTATTACTCATGATAATCTTGTACATATTTCTTTAAAATCACAATATACTCACAAATTATATTGGCATTATCTTCATCTTAAATTATATATAGTTCAAATTAAAAAAAGCAATCCAATTATTTTTAAATTGATAGGTAATACATAAATATATTTCATAAAAAAACATTAGTAAATAAAATAACATCAATTTGATGTTTTGTGTCTTGAAAGAATCAATGGCTTTAAAACTATGCATAGTTAAATGTTTAAGCATCATTATCCCAATGTTTATTGTTTGAGTAAATGTAGTTTTCAAATTTTTTACCTTATTCTTTTGACAAAATAAGTTTTATATACAGTCAATGATGAAATTATTAGTGCACCCATCAATTTCGATTATTTTTATCCATTTCTCAGTATCTAATACCCATGTGATGCCAGGTTTTTTATATGTTAATAAGCACAAAAAAGGAATATAAATCTCAATTTTCAGAACAAAAGGTTAAATACAACAAGTTTGACAGGTGAATTATGCAAAATAAGAAAAGACAAAATTATTCATACAGTAGAAAATATTGTTTTAAATTGATTGATTCATGTAAGTATAAGTAATTTACATAATTATTTTATTAGTTAAGCCTTCTAGACTATTTATTCAGTAGAATAATTGTGATAATTCCAGCAAAGAACATCACATTGTCACCATTGTTATTCTTACATTAACAACATAACAGCAGCTTAGCATAGACTTGAGACAGAGAATTATTAACTTCTACAAGTCAGGAAATAATTACAGCACTATTTTAAACTGGTTAGCTATCCCAAGATCTATGGTACAGTCTATTTAAACAGTTTGGCACAACAGAGCATAGAAGAAAACCTAAATTATCACTGAGAACTACATGAAAACTGTGTTGTCAGGTTGATATAAACCCAAGAGTTGGTTTGAAAGATATTGCCAAAAGGTTGGATATGATGGGTATCAGTGTAAGTATTTGCACAATATAATGTTGTTTTTAAACAGAAATAGGTTATATGAAAATCGACTATAATGAACCCCTCTTTACAAACCAGGTCACATTGTTGCTTGGTTTATTTTTGCTAAAATGTTCTTGGACAGAGAAATTGCTTTTGGGAACAAGTACTATGGAGTGGTGAAACAATAATTTTTGGACATAATGATGTACATAAGATTTGGTGTAAGAGAGGTGAAGCTTTCCTCCCAAAGAACACAGTGGTAACATTAAAACATGGAGGTGGCTCGATAATGTATCGGGATTATTTTAGCTCAAGGGGGACTGGACAATTAATTGCAATAAGAGGAATAATTAAATCTGCAGACTATATCAAAATTCTGGATATAAACCTACAACTATCAGTGCAAAATCTTCATCCAGGGTGGCAATTTACTTTCCAGCAAAATAATTATCCCAAGCATACATCTAAATCAGTGACTGGGTGGCTTCAGAAAAAGATTACACTTCTGCCATGGCCTTCAATGAATTCTGACTTGAATCCTATTGAAAATGAATTGAAAAGTATTGAAAATCTATGGTAAGAATTGAAAGTTTGAATAAAAAATCTTCAGGAATTAGAATATTTAACCATTGAAGAATGGCAGAAAATTCCAGAAAAGACTTATTCAAATATCTTCAAAAACTTTAGAAAATGATTGCAGCAAGTTATAAAGATGAGAGGCCACTAATAATGTGAAAAGATGAGAGACTACTAATAATGTGAAAATTGTTCAATTTTTTCTATTTTTCATACTGGATGAATAATTTTGTCTTTTCCGATTTTGCATAATTTGTCTGTCAAATTTGTTGTATTTAACATATTATTCTGAAAATTGAGTTTTATATTCCTTTTTTGTACTTATTAACATAAAAACTGACATCATACAGGCATTAGATTCTAAAAAATTGATAAAAATATTCAAATTTGATGGGTGTACGAATAATTTTGTTGTTGACTGTATATATATATATATATATATATATATATATATATATATATATATGAAATTGGATTTTTATGCAAGCTGGAATTATATTAGGTTAATTAATAAATAATTGTGCTTTTATTATTTTAAACTTTAATGTTTATTGTTGTAATAACAATGTTCAAGTAATCATTTTAAAATGCAGATTTCATTTTGATTTTTTCACTTTTTACTGTAGTTTTTTTTCACCTGTTATAGTAAAGGTGGGAAAAAGCAAATTTGAAAGATTTTATTGTTTGAGATTTACATGGGACGTAAAGCAGCAGAAACTGCTTGTAATATCAACCAAGTATTTAGCTAGGAGACTGTCAAAAATGTACAGCTCACTATTGTTTCCAAACATTTTCTAATGGAAATGAAAGCCTTGATGATGAGGAGAGTTGCAGATTCTATGATTGAAAACAAACAATTGGGAGTCATTACTGCAATGGACCTATACAAAATAACTTGATAGGTTGCAGTCAACATTTGTACCAAAGAATAAAATTAAAAAAGCTTGACAAACATGAGCTGAACCAGAAAAATTAGCATTGTGAAGTTTGTCCTTGGCTTTGTGATATGTGACAAGAAAGGGATTCTATATGAAAACCAATGATGTTTCATGCAGTGGATGAAGTGAAGCACCAAGAAACTCTTAAATTAAAGTTGCCTCAAAAAAAACCTATGGTTCGTATTTGTTCAATTGGTAAGTGAAATCATTGGCTATAACTTTTTGAATTCTAAATAAACCAACATAATATAGGAATTGACATAATTCATCAAGAACTACAATGTTTACATCCAATATTGGACAATGTAAAAAGGCCAATTCTTTTTCATAATAGCATTCAACTGTATGTTTTTCAAATTGAACCAATTGGGCTATGACATCATAACTCACCCAATTTATTCAAACGTCTGATTGACTACTACTTTTCCAAGCATATTGACAATTTTCTGCAAGAGATCGTCTTCAAAATCAAACAGTTCAAAACACTTTGAAAGAATTCATTGGTTCTAGAAGTTAAGAATTATATGCTATCAGAATAAACAATCTTACTTATTATTGACAACAATGCATAGATTCTAATGGATCTTGTTCTGATTAATACATTTTATTCTAAGTTGAAAATATATGACTTTAAAGTTGAAGGTTAAAATCTGTAAATATTTTTGCATGAAACTAATAGAAACAAAACAAACTGGTTAAACATTTAAAGAGAAATAAAAATATTTTTCATTATTTAAAAAATTCACTTCTAAAATATATTTCAATTTTGGCTTTAAATAAAATATGCATCAAAAATGAGAAAAATTAAAGTGACAAATTTAAGAAAATTAAAATAAATCCAAATGAACAAAAACTGATTTTTCAAAATCATTTTCAGAAATGTATAAATGTAACAATGAAAACTGAGAATTTTACTTTCAACAGTAAAAGTTGTTCTGAATAGAAAAGAAGATGTGTGGAATATAATAAATTCATATTGATTAAAATGAAAAAAAGGATAAAGAAATGTAATGAAATGAAACAAAGAAAATTCATTCAATTTTGTATTCATCAAAATTTTTATAACAATTGTTTCCTCATAAAAATTAGTTTTTGTCAATATTAAAATATTAAGTTTTTTTGAGTCACTTCTTTTGCTTTTTGGGTTTTCTATTTTAAGAAGAATATATATTTCAAGAAGAATAAATCATTACTGAAAAATCAATGGTAATTTAAGATATATGATCTATGTTGTTACAAGATTTTTGAAAAAAATATTTCATCAAAGAAACTATTTAGGGTTACACAGAATACTCTCCTTATGTATCTCAATATGAATTATTATTATTCAGATATATCCTGCTCTAAACTGATTTATTTTTTAGAAAATTACATAAAATTTTCTTATTCAGCAATGTAAAAATACATAAATCACGTTTTTATGCATAAATGATTAATTTCTGAAATTAAGTCAGAAAATTATTTCAAAAGACAAAGTGTATCTAAATATTTTTTCCAATTATCTGTAAAACAAATTTTCTTAATTTCAAAGTAAATGATCTTTTGCATATTTAATTTTTGCCTCTAATGCAAACATTTGATTCATAAGGAGAAGTTTTCTAAATTTTAATTCAAGTAAACATGCTCATAGAATGATGATCTGAAAAATTGCAATAAAAAGTCACTAAAGATGAAACAAATATGAATAAAAAATTAATAATAATTGACACTGTTTTTTAATAATAGAATTCAAGATAATATTACTACTAACATTAATAATGTATATAAATAAACATTAATGATGGCAATGGAAAACTTTCAGGGTAAATAAAGAATGAAAATTATGCAGTTAGATTTGAGCTTCTGTAACAGATAGCTTAATTGGTAGAGCAGCTGTCATGGAAGACAGGTTTCCCTAATGGGAGAAAAGATCTCATCAGAAGCTTGTATTTTCTTTTTGATTTGCATTTAAATGTTGCAATAAAAGCAACTGAAATTAAGATGAAATAGCAATACAAGAAAGAGTGTAATACTAAGTGACAATTCTTCTAAATTAAGATATGTGGTAAGGAACTTTATCAATTCTAATGTCTGATGTTGGGATTTACAAATATTTCTGTTTATGTAATCAAAGTGTTACATATTCACAGATTTGAAATTAGGAAATAAATAGGAAAACAAATAGAATTTCTGCCCTG